TGCGTTCGCGACCTCAACCTCGCGTTCGCATAGAGAAAATCCCAGGTTACCCTTTGCGATCGCAAGAGTGGCTTCGTGATCGCCAAGAACAAAGCATGAGACACCAGAATCTCTAAAACCAAAAATTCTTCTAAGTTCAATCAATCCGTACCCTATCCAAAACTCACTAGAGCCTCTCGAGTTCCAAACCAAACATGCACACAAGTGTAATAACATATACGAACTTGCTCGCGCGATCAAAGCACCAAAATAACACCTAGAACTACGAATCGGACATTAGAATGCATGAAATTTTCAAAGAAACTTAAGAACTTTCAAATTTACAACCGGGCATCCGAATCACGTCGAATCAACTCCATTTTGTACCAAAATTTTGCAGGCAAGTCATAAATAGTGAAATGAACTTATACCAAGTTCCGGAACTGAAATCCGAACCCTATAACAATAAAGTCAACCTACGGTAAAACTTAGGAATTCTTTAAACCTTCAAATTACTAGTTTTCAACAAATCACGCTAAATCAAATTAGGGACTTTTGAATTTAATTTCGGACATACGCCCAAGTCACAAATCACGATACGTACCCACCGGGATTGTCAAAATACTGATCCGGGTTCGTGTACACCAAATATTGACCGTAGTCAACTTAAATTATTTTTCAAAGCTAAAATCCACATTTTCTTAAATTTTTCACATAAAAATTATTCCAGAAAAAGATACGAACTACGTATGCAAATCGAGAAAGACTAAACGGTGCTATTCGAGGTCTCGAAATACAGAAATGAAGGATAAAATAAGAAATCACCTATTGGGTCATCACATTCTCTACCTCTAAAACAAATGTTCGTCCTTGAACGGATATAGAAAGGTACTTGGACTAGTGAAAAGGTGTGGATATCTACTCCACATGTTGGACTCAGACTCCCACGTGGCTATTGTAACGACCCGACCGGTCGTTTTGAGATCTAGCATGTCGTTCGGCGGTTTGAGGTCACGAGCATCTTCACTTCAGGTATTACGACTTCTTCGCATGGTCTGAATTGAAATTATCAAAGTTCGGAGTTGATTTGAAGAGAGAATTCTCGTTTCGGAAGCTTTAAGTTGGAAGATTCTGACTAAGGTTGGATTTTGAGTAAACAATCTCAGAATCGGGATTTGAAGGTTCCAATAGGTTCTTATGATGATTTTGGACTTGGGTGTATGTCCGGATCGGGTTTTGGATGAACTGGGAGCGTTTTGGCACCTATTGTGGAAGTTAGCATTTTGGAAGAATTTTATAAATTTGGGTTGAAGTGCATTTCAATGTTATCGATGTCCGTTTGGGATTCCAAATTTGGTAATAGCTCCGTATGGTGATTCTGGTGTTGGGAGCGCGTCCGGAAGTGGATTCAGAGGTCCGTAGGTCATTTTGGGTTCATTTGGCAAAAGTTAGAAATTCGAAGGTTTTTGAGGAGTTTGACCGGAAGTGGACTTTTTGATATCGGGTTCGGATTCCGATTCTGGAAGTTGGAGTAGGTCCGTAATGTCAAATGTGACTTGTGTGCAAAATTTAAGGTCGATCCGACGTGATTTGATAGGTGTCGGCTTCGAATGTGGAAGTTGGAAGTTATAAAGTTCATTAAGCTTGAATTGGGGTGCGATTCATGATTTTGATGTTGTTTGATGTGATTTGAGGGCACGAGCGGGTCCATATTATGTAATGGGGCTGGTTTGTGTGATTGGACGGGGTCCCGGGGGCCTCGAGTATGTTTCGGAGGTGTTTGGGTTGTATCACGCTCTTATTGGATGTTTCAGTTCTGTTTCTTTGGGCATAAAGGGCAATATATTGAGAAAATTACCTTTGATTTGTGATTAGATTGAACCATTAGATCCATATCGTAATTATGGAGCCATAGCAACAAGATCGTCAAATTTCGATATCGTATGAGAAAGTTATACCCACTTCCGTGTCGGACAAAATTGCTGGTTCCTGGTGCAAAGATTTGTTCTTCGCGAACACGAACAAGGATTTCTGGGTTGGCCGTTCCAAGCGAAAAATTGCTCTTCGCGAACGTGAAGGTCTCCCGCGAAGGTGATGAATAAAAATCGCCTGGACAGTGTTTTAAACCGAGAATTTTAGTATTTTGGGTGTATCTTGAATTCTAGAGCTCTGTTTGAGGTGATTTTTGCGGTGTTTTTCTTGTCTCAACAAGGAGGTAAATATCTGACCTTTGTTTAGATGTTTATCCATTATTATTTCTGTTGGTTTCTATTTTTAGCCATATTCAGATTGTCGAAATTGGGATTTTGGGCCCCAAAGTTGAAAAATGGTAAATTCTTGATTTGAGGGTCGATTCATGGACGAAATTGTATGAATTTCTGGATATAGACCATATGAGTTATGAGTACTATTTATTTTCAATAATTTTTGGAATACGGGCACGTAGGCCCGATGGTTGACTTTATTGACTTTTCGAGTGGAGTTTGGAGTTGTTACAAATTGATTTATTATGAGTATTAGAGTATATTTTTATTGTTTGCACATTGCTTGACTAGTTTTGGAGCGACGGACATCGGTTTGAGGTGTTAGAGCGATGTTGGAGCCGGTTATAGAATTTCGAAGCGAGGTAAGTCTCCTTTCTAACCTTGTAAGAGGGAATTTACCCCATAGGTGAAATGATTCGATTTGTATTTCTATTTGTGGGGGCTACGTACGCACGAGGTGAAGAGAGTCCGCACGTAACTACTATTCCTGTTTATGTCCGGGTAGTTTTAGGTTTACACCATGCTTTATGGACACCGTTACTTCATTATATTTGCTAATTGTATCAAATAGAACTAAGTCGAGGATTTTTAAGGATTCAGAAGTTTCAAGTTGAATTGTCTTTATTTTGAAAAGAATCAAGAAAGGGTTATGATTTAATGATAAATTTATATTTGACCGCATCGTAAGTATGATCCGCGAGCGGGAAACTCCTTAAATTTATATTGACCGCGTCGTATGTATGATCCACGAGCGGGGTAATTCCTTAAATTTATATCTGACCGCATCGCATGAATGATTCGCGAGCGAGGTAAATAGATGCATCTATGGTTCGCGCCGTTCGACCCTCGACAGTGCACAATTTAAATATTATATTGGATTGGGTCGTACGACCTCGGCATGATATGCGCATGACTTAATTGACTGCTTTGGAATTTTTGATAATTGATGTGGCATCATTGGCCGGAGATATAAATTGTTAAAAGATCAAAATTAATTTGAAAATCTCCTATTAACAAAAGAATTGTTTACCTACTTCATGTTATTGAGTTTACAGTCACCTTAAAGAAATTCATAATTTATCATATTATCGGTATATTATTGTTGGCCATAGTAAGTGTCGGAGTCGACCTCTCGTCATTACTTCTTCGAGATTAGACTGGATACTTACTGGATACGCGTTGTTTTCGTACTCATACTACACTGGCTGTACATTTTGTTGTACAGGCACATGTACGTCTAGTGGGCTTGTGGGCGCAGCGGCATGGTTGATATGGGGACTTAGGTGAGCTGCATCTCATGACACGATCCACAACCAGCAGGGTCTCCTTCAGAGTACTTGTATTTTTCTTTTTTGTCCAAATTTATATTCCGGATAGTTATTGTATTTTATTTTAATTCCTAGTAAATGCTCATGCACTCGTGACACCGGGTTCTAGGATGATGATGGTATATTCAGTATTGAAATTGGAAAACATTATTATTATTCTATAAAGTTCATCTTTTACTAGTTAAGTTGAAGGAAATTTATGATCTCAAAAATATAAAGATGAGAATTTTAATCAACTATTTAGTGTTGGCTTGCCTAACAGTGGTGTCCGGCGCCATCACGTCCTTTAACGAATTTTGGGTCGTGACAACATGGTATCAGAGCAGTAGGTTCACTTAGATCTCACAAGTCATGAGCGAGTCTAGTAGAGTCTTGTGGATCGGTAACGAGATGTCTGAACTTATCTTCGAGAGGCTACAAGATTGTTAGGAACACTTCCCTTCTTGATTCCTCATCGTGCTAATTGATCCTTTTAAGGTTTGTACCTTTATTTCTTTCCTATTCAATGTTATGCGACGTCATTAATCAGGAATCATAGAAATTAGCAATAACGATCAATTTTTATGTACTTTAATTCTATTTTAGTGATTTTTTGTTTAGATAACTAATTTTCTAATGTCAAATTGGATATAAGTACAAAACATATGTCAAGAGACTAGTTATTGATTCCGTAAGAGAAGTGAGGACAGGTTAGGAATAAAAATATTCATATTTAACTTACAAGTTGGTTATTCAATTTACTCCAGAATAAGTGAATATAATATTGTTCGATGCATTTGTAATAGAAAAAATAGTAATTTAAATTTTTTACATGTTGAGGTTGTTATGATGATAAATATTTCTCAAATATTATATTGTGGGTCAATTTTTCAGGTAAGACATAATCTTATTTATTTTAATACACTCACTATTTCATTCAATGTAGCTCAACTCAGTATTATATTGTGGAGAAGTAAAAAATTAATCATCATACCTTCTAAAACATTATTTAAAATCGTGATTACGCTTATATTAGAAAATAAAGATTAACACTTTAAAAGAATATGGAGGGGCCACAAAATTGAAAGAGATACTTTATATAAAAAATTAATTAAACGTCTCACATCATTCATAAATCATAAGAGTTCATAGATATAAGAAACAACGTTAAATTTTATGTTTTTTAATTTCATTCTTGTCACGACCAATTTACCCCTCCCCGGAAGATGTCGTGACGGCACCTAGTCTCTACGACTAGGTAAGCCTAAAGAATTACAGAAATAACGGGAACAAAAGTAAAACTCACAACTAACTGCAACAATAATAACATAACTGATAACCATCCAGCTCGGCATGTACAATAACCAACTCCTCAATACTACACAGACTTCCCAAAACCCGGAATATCATGAGTCACAAGCTACAGAAGAAAAACTAGTATCTTTATACATCAGAATCTAACAAAAGAAGTACAGAAGATAATGGACATAAGGGAGAATAGAGGACGACTCCGAGGTCTGCAGATGCGGCAGATATACCTTGAAGTCTCCAATTGTCGCTGCTCACTGAAGACATGGCTGGTAAGAAGTACCTGGATCTGCACACGAAAAACATGTGCAGAAGAGTAGCATGAGTACACTACAACGGTACCCAGTAAGTGCCAAGCCTAACCTCGATCGAGTAGTGACGAGGTCAGGTCAGGGCCCTACTGGTACATATATAGAAAATAAGACGGAACAAAAATATCGCAGTAATATAAATTACTGAAATTTAATCAGAAGGAAATCACAGAAGGATAACAGTACAGTACACGGAAATAACAGAGGGATCTCCCGAGATACCGTCTCGTAGTCCCAAACGTAAATATGCAGGGGGATCTCCTGGAATACCGTTCCGTAGTCCTAAAATAAATATGCAGGGGGATCTCTCGGAATACCCTTCCCTAGTCCCAAAATAAATATGCAGGGGGGATCTCCCGGAATACCGTTCTGTAGTCCCAAAATAAATACATGTTCGCGGCCTACTCCGCACTACTAATTAATTAGCGAGAGAGGGTCGGAGCAGCTTTTACCCGATTTAGGGTCGGGATCGATATCCACAGAGAGCTAGAATTTGGAATCGACTATCTATCTAGCGTAGAGTCACGTATATGTTCCAAATTGCACTCCTAAACATTTTTGAGGTTTTTGTTTACTTCTACTATTATCAAACTACAAATGGTAATTGCAACTAAATTATGCTAAGAGTTATAATGCTACGAGTTGTTCAAATAGGTTAAAAAGGCACTAGGGTAGTGACTTCCGCCTAGGTGGTCAATTGACGGGTACTTGAATCTAAGGCACGTTTGACATATTTGGGGAGTATGATATAACCGTTGCACGACTTTACCCACTCTACACCTCTCGGTGGTTCGAGTGATTTTGCCCGAATTGGCTTTCTCAAGACCAATTGGGTATGTAAATTTGCACGAGCAACTAGGGTTCAAATCGGGTATTACTCTCTCGAGGTTTAACCCTTCAATTGGGGCTATCAATCTCTTGAGTACGCTCTAATTCCTTGGTGGACCAATTTCGGAGACTTAGGCTCTTTTTCTCAAGAAGAGCTCAAGTCAACTAAACACAAACTAGTGTTTGCAACCACTAATTCAGCAATTAACCATGAAATTTGCCCAAATATCAAACACCCATAGTCAATCTAGCCCTGAAATTCAAGACCCATCAATTACCCACACTAGGGTTGAGCCACAACCCTAGATTATGGGTCTAGCTACTCATATTTAAAGAAGAAAAGCAAGAAATAGATGAAGAACAATTCATATTAATTAATTACTAAGATAAACTAGAAGATTTAATGTTGAAATGAAGATAAAATTGCCCAAAATAGCTAAGAAAAATGAAGTCACGAGCGCAACTATGTTCTGATACTATCCGCTTGACCTAAAAATGGAAAAGAAGCTATTTATACTAAGCTGATAATTCTGGACAAAAATGCCCATACGGGGTTAGTGCGGACCGCACAAAATGGATCGCGGTCCGCACTAGGGCTTTGGACATGAAAACTGCTCTCTGAACCTTGGCATCGCGGACCGCAGAGAATGGACTGCGGCCGCGGAGGCTTCTAGTGCGGTCCGCATAAAAAGGACCGCGGACCGCATTGGCTTGACATCCTGAAATTGCAGCTCTCTGAGTCTCCTCACTGCGGACCGCAGAGAATGGACTGCGACCGCGTTGATCTCAGTGCGGACCGCACAAAATCGTAGTGCGGCCGCACTGCCTCTTGACCTGAAAATCCACCTCTCTGAATCTCCCAGCGCGCACCGCACAGAATGTAGTGCGGCCGCACTGGCCTTATTTAGCCTGAGCTTTGTCTTGTCTTTGGCGCTTGTGCAAGTTTCACTCCTTTTGAACTGATTTTTGACATCTTGTCACTTTGTTGATCAAACCTGCAATCAAGCATAACTTGTGAGCCTTTTGGAACTATTTTGTATGAATTTCTAATCAAAGCATAAGCAAGAAGGAGTATAAAATGCGTCAAAATCCCTAGTTATCAACTCCCCCAAACTTAAGATTTTTCTTGTCCTCAAGCAAACAAAATAAGACTCACCCCTTAAGAGAATGTCCAAGAAATTTTCAGATGTCCTAAAGTGACCTCAACTTGCCTGAATTGGGACTAACAATTGCCCTCAATACACATGAATCATTAACAACATTTACTCTTTGAAAACACCATGGATCAAGTGTGGCACAAGAGCATCAAGGGTTGACTCAACATATCAAAGGACTCTTTCTATTACTTTAGTCATTGTGGAACCCAAACTCACGCATCCTCAACTCTCCCTAAGCTAACTTCACCTTTAGAATAATGGCACTCAGAACGAGGTAAATGGAAGTTCACTCATCTCTCTCAAGAAAAAGCCACAAGTCCGGCTCTAGGTACCATATGTTTGCCCCTTATGTGAGTATCCACTAATGTAAGCTTCATTCAACTCAAGATCATATAGGGCTTTTGTGGAGACATTGTGAAGGCTTTTGGTTCAGGGTAGGAAATGTTTTGGTCTAAGTAGGTCCATCTTCCCTTAAACACTTCTTTTTATTCATTTGGCATCCATTCACTTGACTCTTTGAGTCATTGCACTTCTTTCTGAGGGGTTAGAGAGACACACTGTCACTCTTTCTTATGCATTTCAAACCTTTTCTCCTTTTTCAACTTTTCACACCTTTCATTCTTTGCTTTTCTTTGAACCCCCTTTTTATTCT